GAATAATTAATGACCTAATTACTATTCAATTAAATATAATGAATAATCTAATTAAATTAGATTAATAATTGATTGTACATTGTTTTAAACTAAGAACCAAATTTGAATGATAGAAATGAAGAAATTATGTTAAATTTATACATAAAATAGAGTGCATATAAAAATTATATTAAAAATTATAAATATAAAATTGAATTGTAATTTTTGTTTCTAAAAGATATAAATACATTAAACACACAATTATTTAATTAAACGAATAGGATTATTTAAAAGTAATAAACTGTATTTATTCCAATGAAATGAAACTAGAACGAATAATAAGCACTTCATAGATATCAAATTAACATAATATTAATAATTAGTAATATAAATGAACTAGTAAATTTATTTAAAATTTACACTATTTTTTGAAGAAAATAATAAGATGAAGAAGAATAATTGATATTCTTGAGAGTACAAAATAGAATATACGTTATTGACACTTTAAAAGTACGTAATATATATAAAATATAATAATAAAATAAATACAAATTTGCTTATAACTTATTTGATTAATTAAACTATTTTAATATATATAATTTACGAATAAATAGTAACTATTGGTATTCATATTTAATTAATAATTAATAGTTTCCATAGGAACCACAAAAACTAATATGTTAATTTTAAGGGTAAAATAAAGAATATATAAAATATTATTATTCTAATATTATATATAAGAATTACAAATACAATTTTCTTAAAAACTCAGAATATTGAATATCTTTATTCTTTTCAATTTTTTATAAATCCTTATTTTTAAAAAAGTTTAATTTCAGTTAATAACGGATGTTACATAAAATTTCATCGAAGTTTATTTATAATATATTTAAATTCATAAAATATTATCTCATATATATATTTTTTATTTTTTATGTTAAACCAGTAATGCTTGAATAGTGCTAATATAATAGTGTTAATTATTGTTCATTACATAAAATTCATGTCTACTTTTCTTATAAATATTCAACATTGTATTATAAGTAAATTAAAGGTTTTATATTTAAATAAGATAAAAATCAATACCTAAATAGCCTCCAAATTTAAAAACGATTCGCGTTGTATAAATACAAAAAGATTATGAACGAACACGCCAGATAAATAATAAGATATAAATAATAATATGATGTGAGTATTGATAAAGTAAATCAATACATGAGGTATGAACAATCAATCATTTTATATCAGATAACATGGTCAAGACTTAAATTTCTAAACTTCGTATTAATACTCAATTGATGATTATGAACTTTTTAAATCAGTTGATACATATAAATTTTTTAGTATTAGTACTATAAAATATTTGAATGTTTCCGATATCTTTATAATACACATTTTATTGAAGATAATTAGAGTTTATAATTTCCTTGAAGCAATTGATTGTATACATTTTCATTTAGAATGTCGATTTAATTCTAGATATCTTATTTCAAACAATATATACACAAACAATATAAAATAAATTCTCATTTAAAAAAAAATCGAGATATATTAAATTATATCAATAATTGCAATTTTTATTACGTAATTTCAATAAGCCCGACTAATAATAAAGACGAGAAGAATGTGATTGATATGTAATATACTTGGTTCAAAATTTTTAATGATCTACAAATTCATTTGTTTTTTAATGAATTGAATGAAAATAAATTTTTTTAAAAAGGAAAATAATTAGAATAAAATAAATTTTAAGTAAGTGCTATATCGAAAATTATATATATAATACATACAAATACTTGATTGACAGAAATCAATATATTATTAAAACAGTGTAATCACTTACAATTGCTAACATTCAAACAATTTATTTAAAATGATTGAGACATCTACAATTATTTACATATAAAACATAGACTTGAATTTGAAACAACTCAATACTATAATATTAAATCAGCGTAAATGTCAGCAAAGTTTATTTTAAATATTGCTCTTAATCTAATCTATACATATTTCAAATTATCAAAAAATATATCAAATTATATTTACATACTATTTTTCACCATACTCAAAAATTATAATTACAAATTAATTACAGTTTTATACTTTAAAAGTCAATTAATACATAATTATAATTTTCTGAAAAAACAAATACTATGTGATCTAAAGAGTTATTGATTATTACGGAAATTAGTTCTTAAATATATAACCATCGAGTGTAAAATATTTTTCTGATTTTTTATCTATATAAATACAGCATATACATTTTATGCATATTTATATATTTATTAATAAAAAATTTTACGTACAACTTTATTTGATTTTTAATATATAATTTTATATTTATTAAATAAATTTTAATCAACGTTAATAATAATGTATGTAAATTTCCATTATAGAATTTTTTAAAAAATAATTATTAAATATGAAAATTTGAAAAAAATGAAAGCTAAGTATTATCATAAAAAATAATAAACATTGTTCTACTTCTTGTATAAAATAATATCATTTATTCTTTACTAATCTTAAACACTTATGCTAATTAAATATACACATAATTAAATATGCATATAATATAATAAAATATATATACAATCGATATAGTTAATATTGTTAATATAGTTAACATAAATATAGTTAATTTAAATAGTAATAAAAAATATAATTTTTGTCCAATATTCAAAAATATGATACCATTTTAAATGACAATCATATTGAGATTTTAAATATTTCATTGTGATTTTTTCCGAATGTAATAAATATTTTATTTAACCAAAATTTTTCTCTAATAATATATTTCATATGCAAAATAGCAATTGCATGATATATTGCATACATCAATCATTTAAAGAATAAGACAAAATAAATTTTATTTCATTTATTGTACTACGTAAATTGTATCCAATTAAAAATGTATAATCTTATTTATAACAGGGGAAAATAATTCCATAATAATTACCAAGTTCTTCTGAATAGATAGAATATGTACGATTGATTTAATTTGATACTTAATCGCTAATTAATATATGATATAGAATGTCGATAATTAATTGACTAACGCAATCAGTTATAAAATGTAGTTAAAGCGCATAAAATTATGTTTCACAGTATACCATATTAAATTATTCATACATAGTGATATTGTAAAAATAATCGTATACTAATTTTTAATAAATTTAATGTTAACGTATATTTGCTAACTATAATTAAAAAATTTTTTATTATACTTTATAAACATAAAGAGCATTACATATTTAAGTCGTAAATTTAAGTTCGATGTATCTTTATTATTATCTTTTATTTCTATAGATAATTTAAAAAAAATTATGACTTAGATTATATTATAAAATATTAATGTATATATAATAATTAAATTTAGATTTTAACTTTACTTGAATATTATGGTTATAAATTAAAATGATTATTATGAAAGATTTAATTATATTTTTATGAAAAATAATATTATTTTAAAATAATTTTTTTAATCAGAATTAGAATCACTATTTTACAATGATTTATAAAAATTCATACTGAAAATACAAGGCAATTTCCCGCGTCTGTAATCAAGTCCTCTTAAATATAATATAAAAATTCCAATTAATTATTTGAAACGTACTATATTAAAGAACTGTTTAGGTTATGATTAATCATAATCTACGTTATTAATAACTAATAATTAAATTTCGGATATGCAATCCTTCAAATTAATACTAATTCTTATTGCCATAAAAATATACTTTTCAAGAATGCTAAAGTGTTTCGAGCTTCTAAATGACAGATCTATATATAATTATAATAATGAGCATTAAAAATTTAAATGCATATTAGTGATATCGTTAGAAGTTAATATAATTAAACTAATAATATTCCTTAAAAATCATACACACTACCTTATATATAAAATTTATTGAAAGATTAATTTTATTGAAAGAAGAATTTTAACATAATTTTAATATAATTTATTATTACTTGATAGAATACATAATAATATATAAACTAATTCAATCTAGTCTATTTTGTATCTATATTGCACTAAATTGTATTTTATATATTATTAAAAGTATGTTATTTATGTAAAGTATGGAATATTACTATATTATATTATATGGAATTCAGGTTCATTGTGATAAAAAAGACGTAAAAATTTGTACAATTTTAATCAATATCGATAATATCAATTAGTAGTTTTATCAACATGTAAAAATCGACTAGATATAGAGCTCGTATACACGCCGCAATTACATGTAAATGAACGTTCGCATTGATAGTATAAATATGCTGATACGTAATCAAAATCATAATGAATCCGACTGCGCTTCTATCAAGATGTTTGAAGTTTTAGTAATAATTGCTCTTCTATCAGTAACAAATGGTAAGTTATAGAATAAATTTTACTTAATTCAAACCAATGTTATTGACTTTATTGTCACTTCGATTTAATTGAAAAATTCTTTGGAATTTATTGTTAAATATAAATATTATTTACTATATGCAAAAATTATTACCTTTTCTAATGATTATAATAACGACAATTTCGTTAGTGTATGCAAGTTACAAAATATAATTTAAAGATATTTAAGTATACGTAGGTTTGATTATGATATAAAATGAAAATTGTCATTCGTAATTATAATATACATTGAAAAACCATTTATATTTGGATTGAAAATATATTATTAATAATAATGTATATTATTAATATAATTAATTTAACTAAAATTGATATCATTGCAAAATTGTGTTTAAATACACGAGATTAAAATAAGCAAGTAATGAAATTTAAAAATCACAATATAATTATATGATATAATAATTACACCTATAATAATTCTACAATATATAATACTGACATATAATAATATAATATATGAGTACTTATTATGTGAAATAATTCTATAATTAATGAGGATTATAATTAACTGAAAAAAATTCCCTAGCTTGTATTTTCAAATTGTACCATCATTCGTATAATCGTTCATACAATGGAATTGCAATAATAAAAATACTATTAATGCTACTATTTTTTTATCCGATTAACAGCTGTGTCACTGCTTCAAAAAATAAATCCATTTTTTCCAAACGGTCGCATAATTGGAGGTGAAAATGCAGTAATCGAGTCGTTTCCTTACCAAATATCCCTAGAGTACTTAGGATATCACACTTGCGGCGGCTCCATTATTTCTGCCCACTACGTCGTCACTGCAGGTCATTGTGTTGATGTACGTGCTGCTTATCTAACAATTCGCGCCGGCTCATCTTTAAAAGGCCAAGGTGGCAGCGTACACCAAGTAGATAAGATTATCCGTCACGAGCAGTACTTCACCAATGATTACGGTGTGCCGCATTATGATGTGTCACTACTGCACGTAAAGCAACCGTTTCAATTTGACGACAGCCGTCAGCCTATCAATCTTTTCGATGTTGCTGAAGAATCCGAGCCCGGCGTCAAATCAATTATTACCGGATGGGGAAATACCGGAAAAGGTTCGCCCATTCAACTGCAAACTGTATCAGTACCCATTGTTAGTAAGACCATCTGCAACAATGCCTACAGCAAATTTGGCGGAATACCAGAAGGTCAGATATGTGCCGCGTACTATGGTGTAGGGGGTAAAGATGCTTGCCAAGGTGATTCTGGCGGTCCTCTTTCGATCGATGGGCGCCTCGCTGGAATAGTTTCTTGGGGTAATGGATGTGCGTTGGCTAAGTACCCGGGAGTATACACCGAGATATCGCATTATCGCGAGTGGATCAATGAGCATGCCGAACTCGGACAATAATTGTTCGAATAAAATATTACATCGTACCTCCAAATTACTAGACCAATAATTTTAATACCAACTCATAGAATATTGTGGACTTTTACCTTTACAAAACATAAAATAACATTTGACGATTTCACGTATGTTCGTGAATGAATGTGTAAGACTAAAATTTTAAAATAAATTTGTAAATGATTTTTTATTCGATTCTCATTTAAATTTATTTAAAAATTATTTATTTATGCAATACACATAACAATAACAAAATCTTAGTACAATTTTTGTTAAAAAAATTTTATATATATATATATATATATATATATAGAGAGAGAGAGAGAGAGAGCATCAACGTTAAAATTGAAAATAATTTATTTTTTATAAAATATTAAAATAGATTGAAATTATATTAGACGCTAAAAACCTTTGTACATAAATAATATATTCGTATTACAATGAAGAGGAAAAGGAATTTGTAATGTATATATAATTCTGAGAAAATACCGTAAAAGATTAAAAGATATAATTTATACACGGTTGAATGACTTCGATAGAATTATAAAAATTATTTTATAATATTCTTTGAATAGAGAATCATAAAGTATTAAAAAGGTTCAAATATAATAAATATATTTATTTTAATTGTTATGATAATTCGATTTTTTTTAAACAGCCTTGTACATTCATAATGGTTAAACGCCATTTTGAATAGATTTTCGGATTAACGAAACCTTGTACACCAGATGATTATAATAAAAATTTACAAAACATTAATAGTTAAATTATTCCTAAAGATTATGAATATTTTTTGTTGATGTTATTTTCCTTTAGTAATATTTAGAAATATTAATAAGACATTATCAAATAAATTTACTAATAGTATAAAATAAATTAATTTTGATAATTATAACGATAATATATATATATAATTGAAATTACTAACTTAAGTTTAGCTTCGGTTTCTGAAATTTATATATATATATATATATATATATATATATATAGTTAAATATGTAAATAAATAAATTTCAAATAATATTTATTAAATTACATACACATAAACTATGTCAATGATAATTTACACATTAAGAAAAATAAAATTAATACTCATATAATCTTAAGTATGATTTTTGAAACGTCTAAGTAATAGCTCTATTTCTCTCTCTATTTGACGTATTGTTAAAAACAGTGTTGCTAAAAAGGATTGCGTGTAAATATTCGCTTGATCATAAAAATGAATAAATCCTTAAATAAATATGAAACATAAAAGAAATATAACAATCATCAAACCGAACTCGTTAAAAATAATTTTATTAACAAGATGGTTCTTCAAATTGAGATTCAACGACAGTTCCATAGAAAAATTATACTAAAAGGAATAACTGATTAGTTTGATCCTCTTTTTCCTGTATCTAACAGGACAAGGTACTTCAACATAGCTAATTTCGTGAAGCTCTAGTAGAACGATAAAGTACCGTGGAATTAAAGTACATTCAATGTAAATATAAACATGGTACATATTTATTATACTAAAGTAGCATATTTTAATGGATTAATATACTTCATATTTCGAACTAAAATTTTAATATCTAAATGTTATATATAATGCTTCTTATATAACTAATCTATTTGCTATGTAGTAAATTTCTTAACTTTACTTTTATAAATATTATACCAATTGCTACGATATCTTCAAATACTTTTTAGTTGAAATCAGTATTTAATTGAAAAGTATTTTTCGCTTTTAACAATAATCTATTTAAACTAAAATAAAAATAAAATTTAAATTTAACATAAATTAAATTAATTAAAAGAAAAAGAAAAATAGTATTATTCTTCGCAGAATAATTATTCTTAAAAAATATATAAAATTTATAACATTACGATAGCTCCTAAGCAATTTGTATTCTTACGCATGAAAATTATATATATATTTCAACGTACCGATTACAAGTTAACTGAATAGTACATTAAATTATTGACATAATTTATTTTGCAGATTTCCACTATATTTTTAATACTTTTTGAAAAATTCATTATAATTTAAAACATTTAAATGGATAACAATTACACGATTTTAAGCAACATTTTTTAATGAAGAATGTCTTTTTACAGTTTTATGGCACTTCTTGCAAAAATTGTTCAATTAAAATACATTTAAGTAATTTAATTCTGTTGTACATAATGATTCTATCGATATTGAAAATTGTTATCATTCCTTTCCTAATAATATGGTATTTCAGTATAGAAATTTGGTAATCAGTTTTGTTTTTTAGAACTATTTATAATTAACGGATCTTGTGATTATTAATGAGCCTTTTTATTAGAATCTTTTTATTACATGCTATGCTTTTATTATATACTATTTTTTTCAATAAGCTTATTAGAATTATATAATATAATGTATAAATATATCTTAATTGTAAACTAAGTATAGATACTAATTTTGTTCTATTTAAAGCTTACTATATATATCTACAAAATTTAAGGTACATAAATGAAATTTTAAAAATAAATTATTTAAAAATCCAAATCATTTCTTATATTTTCAATAATTCTTTTTTTAATTTATGCTAGCATATATAATATAGAAAATAGGATTGTAGAATTAAAAATGATACAGATTTTTTTCATGTATATCAATAAATAAAATACACGAGAAATTTCAAAAATAAAATTGGTAAATACAATAATAAATATAATATAAAGATATAAAGATAAAAATAATAATAAATATAAAGCACTTATAAATACATATTCTTAATATTTATAGTTTAAAAGTGTATATATTTGTTTTTTAATAAATAAAATCAATATATAAATTATATTTTATTAATATTTTAACGCAAAACATTTTTTTAATAAAAGTTTGTATAAAAACGAAAGTAATTTTTAAATATTGAAATATATCCATTTTATATTTAAATTAATAATGTCATATATATCAATAAAAAGTAATTAAAAAAAATATTAATAAATATAATGTATAATACTATAGAATTTAATTTTTTATAAAATTTTCAATAAATTCAATAGACCAGGTTCAATCACAAATACTATGTGTAAAAACTCAGAAATAAAAAAATAAAAAATAAATACTTGTACATGCATTGATAAAATATAATTAGAATAAATAGAATGTATTATTATATTTTTTAAGAATCTTTAAATAGCAAAAATTAACACAATTACATTATAAAAATAATAATCTATTTTTTATATCTCGATTTACTAAAATATAAAATTCAATTTCTAATAATTTCCAATCTAATTTCCAAACTAAAACCAAACTAATTTCAAAAATATTCTAGAGCGATATTCAAATATTTTGAGACTCTCTAGTCTTTATAATAAATTTTGTACTATATTTTAATCTTCATATTAGCAAAATTTTTTAAGTAAGATGATATATTGTGCAAGTAAACATAAATATTAAATTTTCACGAATTTTAATAATTAATGAAAATGAAATTTTAAAGTAAAAAAGAAATAATAATAAAAGCCAATTTATATATTAATAAAATAATTGAATTAGAGAAGTATGACCTTGACTATTCAAAATTGTTATTTGATTTGATCTTACTTTGAATATTTTCTATTAAGATATGATAAATTGAGCCAGTCGTTATCTATTTGAATGTAATTTTTGTTGAAGATAGATCCCCCAAATTTTCTAATACAGATGAGAAAGTTATTATCTTCACATTTAGTAAGATAAGTTATTTATCAATATTTTAATTGAAATCATTATTAAAATTATTTCTAAAGTCTTTGATTTGTTGAAACTTATTATAATATTATCTTGAAGTATAATAATTCATATCATAGAATATTTAATGAATGGATTCATTAGTATTGAATGAATTATTATAATATAATAATAAAATCTATTGGATAATAATTTTAATTGCATATATATATATATATAGATTATTATTTCATATTATTTTTAATTACTTTCTACATATTAAATATAACAATTGTCATTAAAGAAAGGAAATTTAATTTAATTTTTATTTTCACTATAAATAAAATATTTTAAAATTATGCAAAAATTCTAAGAAGAAATAATAAATAAAATAAAATACTTTAAAACGTTTATTTTTCATACTTACTATCATTATTATTTATAAAATACTATATATTAATATATTAATATCAAAATAATATATATACCTCTTTACAAATATTTAATATATTATAATAAAAAAATTTTATAATAAATTAATTAAAAATTTCATCATAATCTTAAAATTAAACATCTAATTATCAATCTTTAAAAAATAGATATTGGAAGCTTATGAGTGTGCGTACACTCGCGCACGCGTGAAGTTTATATTAAAAAATTTCAAATTTAATATATATTATTGATGTACTATCAGTAATAATGTCATTTATTAAATTATTCCATTTGTAATTTGTCTAATAGTTGAAATAATAAAATTTCTTTTAGTTCTTCGAGTCTACTATTGGTATTGCATGTAACTGTATAAAACATTTAATAACATTATTAAAACCCCACTTCGAGATTAAATTAGAAATTATTCAAATAATCTCCATATTATCTTTTGTATTATTTGTTATTCAGACTATTAAAGCATCAAAAACCACAATAATTGTTAATAACATTTTCGTAATAAACGACGAAATGTAATATAGATCTGATAATGCGTTGTGGCTGTGTTAATTTTCTGCTTAATAACAAATAAAAATAAATATCTTTTAATTTGATATACAAATTAAGTTATTACTATCTACATTTGAAAAAATGTAATTGTAACACAAACAGCAATTGATCAAAATATATTTAGTTATTTTTCTTATGATTAGTCAATTAAAAAATTACAAAAGTTATCATTCTGAGCGTAGTTAATATTAAAAAACCTATCAGTGACATCAATTACTTAACATATATTATAAAATTATACTAAAAAACACTACTAAATGTGAAATTAGTATTACGATACTTCAAATTTTATAATAGTTTAAATTAATATTAACAAATAAATACATTATTCTAATTAAAAAAGGATTTGCTTTTTATTATGTTTGCTTATAATACGGTTTCAATATCTTTAAAGTTTGTTTCATTATAATAAATTATAAAATGAATAATTGATTAATTTTCATATTTCTATACCTTGATTCGAAAAGTTAACGAAATTTGTTAAAGTATATAAATCTACATAAATATGACTATTTGAT